AATGGGAATATTACAAGCAGTTACATTGAATGGTAGTGGATGAGAATAAACATGAATAATTCAAGGTTTTTTGAAAAATATCTTCGTACCCTTGAAAGGCTGAATTGCGATACAATTCACAGATGCGATAAATGCGATGGACATATGATGAATAAATGAAATGAATAAATAGAGCTTACGACAATGGAAATGGTGCAGAAAGTCCAATGAAGCTGAAGAGAGTTGAACATGAAGGAAGGGGCTCACGCAATGATGGTGCGTAGGCTTGAGGAAAATGATGAAAATAAAGTCAGTGCCGAAGCAAAGCAGTAAGTCGCTCGATGAGTCGGATGATGAGCTGTTTGATGTGGGTGCACATACACCCTTTTACCACCAGCTGATATAAGATTACACCTGTGTTTAGGGGGGGGGGGTTGTCATGTTTCAGAAAAGTGCAGAGTGCTGTGTGATGTGGGTGGACTTACATCCTTTACCACCAGCTGATATTAGATAACACCTGAGGGGAGGGGGGGGGGGGGGAGGCAGGGGGAGGTTGTCATGTTTGAGAAGAGTGCAGAGAGCTGTGTGATGTGGTTTCACAACACCCTTTTACCACCAGCTGATATATCATTTCACCTGTGTGTAGGGGGGGGGGGGGGGGGGGTGGGGAGTTAGGGGGGAGGTTGTCATGTTTGAGAAGAGTGCAGAGAGCTGTGTGATGTGTCGTTTCACAACACCCTTTTACCACCAGCTGATATATCATTACACCTGTGTGTAGGGGAGGGGGGGGGGGGGAGGCAGGGGGAGTTTGTCATGTTTGAGAAGAGTGCAGAGAGCTGAGTGATGTGGGTTCACAACACCCTTTTAACACCAGCTAAAATATGATTACACCTGTGTGTAGGGAAAGGGGGAGGTTGTCATGTTTGAGGAGGTTGCAGAGAGCTGTGTGATGTGGGTGGACGTACATCCTTTTACCACCAGCTGATATCAGATTACACCTGTGTTTAGGGGGGGGGGGGGGTTGTCATGTTTCAGAAATGTGCCGAGTGCTGTGTGATGTGGGTGGACTTACATCCTTTTACCACCAGCTGATATTAGATAACACCTGAGGGGAGGGGGGGGGGGGGGGGGGTTGTCATGTTTGAGAAGAGTGCAGAGAGAGCTGTGTGATGTGGGTTCACAACACCCTTTTACCACCAGCTGATAGATAATTACACCTGATTGTAGGGGGGGGGGGGTTGTCATGTTGAGAAGAGTGCAGAGAGTTGTGTGATGTGGGTGCACAACACCCTTTTACCACCAGCTGATATATGATTACCCTGTGTGTAGGGGGGGGGGGGGTGATGGTCGTCATGTTTGAGAGAAGGGTGCAGAGAGCTGTGTGATGTGGGTGCACAACACCCTTTTACCACCAGCTGATATATGATTACACCTGTGTGTAGGGGGAGGGGTGGGGGGAGGCAGGGGGAGGTTCTCATGTTTGAGAAGAATGCAGAGAGCTGTGTGATGTGGGTGGACGTACATCCTTTTACCACCAGCTGATATTAGATAACACCTGATGGGAGGGGGGGGGGGTTGTCATGTTTGGGAAGAGTGCAGAGAGTTGTATGATGTGGGTGCAAGTACATCCTTTTACCACCAGCTGATATATGATTACACCTGTGTGTAGGGGGGGGGGGGCAGGGGGGAGGCAGGGGGAGGTTCTCATGTTTGAGAAGAATGCAGAGAGCTGTGTGATGTGGGTGGACGTACATCCTTTTACCACCAGCTGATATTAGATAACACCTGATGGGAGGGGGGGGGGGGGTTGTCATGTTTGGGAAGAGTGCAGAGAGTTGTGTGATGTGGGTGCAAGTACATCCTTTTACCTCCAGCTGATATTAGATTACTCCTGTTTGTAGGGGAGGGGGGTGGTTATGTTTTAAAAGAGTGCAGAGAGCTGTGTGATGTGGGTGCATGTACATCCTTTTACCACCAGTTGATTTAAGATAATTATGATGATAATAATGATGATAATGATGACGATAATAATGATAATGAGGATGATGATAATGATGATGATGATAATGATGATGATAATGATAATGATGATGATGATGATGATAATGATGTGATCACGATGATAATGATAATGATAATGATAATGATGATGATGATAATGATGATGATAATGATGTGATCACGATGATAATGATGATGATGATAATAATGATGATGTTAATGATGATGATAATGAAGATGATAATGATGATGATAATGACGATGAAAATGATGATAATGATGATGATGATGATAATGATGATGATGATAATGATGATGATAATGATGATAATGACATTGATAATGATGATGATAATGATGTGATCACGATGATAATGTGATCACCATAATGATGATGATAATGATGTGATCACGATGATAATGATCATGATAATGATGATGATAATGTTGATGATAATGATGTGATCACGATAATGATGATGATAATGACGATGATAATGATGATGATAATGATGTGATCACGATGATAATGATGATGATAATGATGATGATAATGATGATGATAATGTTAATGATAATGATGTGATCACGATGATAATGATGATAATAAAAATGATGATAATGTGGTGATAATGAAGATGATAATGATGATGATAATGACGATGATAATGATGATGATAATGATAATGATAATGATGATGATAATGTTGATGATAATGATGTGATCACGATGATAATGACGATAATGATGATGATAATGATGATAATGATAATGATAATGACGATGATAATGTTGATGATAATGATGTGATCACGATGATAATGATGATGATAATGATGATGATAATGATGATGATAATGTTGATGATAATGATGTGATCACGATGATAATGACGATAATGATGATGATAATGACGATGATAATGATGATGATAATGATGTGATCACGATGATAATGATGATAATGATGATGATAATGATGATGATAATGTTGATGATAATGATGTGATCACGATGATAATGATGATAATAATGATGATGATAATGATGATGATAATGACGATGATAATGATGATGATAATGACGATGATAATGATGATGATAATGATGATGATAATGTTGATGATAATGATGTGATCACGATGATAATGACGATGATAATGATGATGATAATGATGTGATCACGATGATAATGATGATAATGATGATCATAATGATGATGATAATGTTGATGATAATGATGTGATCACGGTGATGATAATGATGATGATAATGATGATGATAATGTTGATGATAATGATGTGATCACGATGATAATGACGATGATAATGATGATGATAATGATGTGATCACGATGATAATGATGATAATGATGATGATAATGATGATGATAATGTTGATGATAATGATGTGATCACGATGATAATGATGATGATAATGATGATGATAATGATGATGATAATGACGATGATAATGACGATGATAATGATGATGATAATGATGATGATAATGATGATGATAATGTTGATGATAATGATGTGATCACGATGATAATGATGATAATGATGATGATAATGTTGATGATAAAATGTGATCACGATGATAATGATGATAATGATAATGATGATGATAATGATGTTGATAATAATGATGATAATGACGATGATAATGATGATAATGTTGGGATCACGATGATAATGATGATGATAATGATGACGATAATGATGATTATTATTATCAATATTATTATTTGTTATCATTATTATTATTGATATTGATATTGATGTTGTTTATTATCATTAATATTATTCCCTTTTTTCACCAAACATATATTTATCACAAATTTGCAGTTGTCATTTACCTTTTCCTATATGTTTCTACATATCTTTCATTTTATTGACGTAGAGGATGCTTTTGATATCCTTAATTTCTGTTTATTAGTGTGCAACTTTCGGCTTTTCCGAGCTATGAATTCTTATTCTATGAGCTTTTATCTCCTCTTGGGTAGTTACCCGAGGTGGGTCACGAAAACAAAGAAATAGGGAGATATCCACTACTCGGCCCATGGTCTAATTTTGTTCATATGCTAATTAATAGGTATTCAAGTAAATAGTCATTAGGAAGGGGGGGGGGTTGTCATGTTTGAGAAGAGTGCAGAGAGCTGTGTTTTGTGGGTGCACTTAAAAACCTTTTATCACCAGCTGATATAAGATTACACTTATGTGTAGGGGGTGGGGGGGGGGGGGGTGTTGTCATGTTTGAGAAGAGTGCAGAGAGCTGTGTGATGTGGGTGCACGTCCACCTTTTTACGACCAGCTGATATATAATTGTATCCTCAGGCAGTATGCGTTATGCCGCCGCGTCATATTCTTTTGTGCGTTGTAACTGCCACATTCCTTGACAGATTTCTTTCAAATTTTGTATGGAGGTGCATCTTGGTATATAACTCTACACACCCATATCTTTTGCTGATGCTGCCCCTAGTATTCTGTCTTCTATAGGGTAAAAGGCCATATTTTTGTGGCTGTCCTTTTGTGCGCTCTAACTGGCACATTTCTTGACAAATTTTCTACAGAGATGCATTATACTATAATCTTCACACCTATTGTCCCCTTGGAGGGGTTATAGAAATGCTGCCTTGCGTCCGTAACAAATTATTGTTTTGGTAATGCTGCTCCTAGTCATGGCAATAGCCTGAGCCACTAGTGGCGACCTCTCTACGTCATCCTTTTTGTTTCAAGGAGGGGAGAGGGGATCTTTGTCCCTCCTTCAAACATAAGGATGACACAAAATCACTGCCACTGCCGCATTCGCATTGCGCGGCAATACAGATTGCGATATTTCTAGTTTCTTGAGGAAACGAGGTGCATTCCCTTGCCACTGTTACATCTATCAGCTGAAACTAATGACAGTGTGTAAACACACCAGTGGTGAAGGCCCTTATTCTCTTATGCAGGATGTATGATGGGGCCTTCCCACTAGCACATCTTTGCTGATTCTCTTTCTATTTCCTTTCACAGGAGTACATGCCTCTGCCTCCCGCAGCTGAAAGTGAGGACAGTGAGAACACACCGGCCAGTGAAGGTCCTCAGCTCCAGTTCTCATATGTAGAATGTTTGATGTATACATTCCATCAGCTGGCCAGGAAGCATCCTGAATACTTAACAAGTGAGGAGGATACTGTCCCTGAGAGGCTCAAGGACTTCAGGCTCAGGTAAGTCTCTCACCCCCTGTCCACACACAACATTTTCCGTGACTAATCATGATTAGCTATTCCGTTTCGCGATAGTGATACCGTTTCGCGATAGTTTTACGACCAAAATTGTAGGTGTGGACGCTCACTAACGATACGTCGTATAACGAAACTAGTCTAACGAAACGCAGGTTTGGGCATCGTTTCGAACTGAAACTCGATAAAGAATCACGCCTAATCACGTAAATTTTGTGTGTGGACAGGGGGAGTGTAACTAGTGTAACTAACTGGGCGGGGCTTAACGTGACCTCGAGCGAAATGAGACCAGACCTCTTATCACTATCGCAAAACTCTATAAAGAATCACGGAAAATGTTGTGTGTGGACAGGGGGCATTTTATACGATGATTCTTTAGTGACGACGTTTCTTGTGTGTGGACATCCTGGAATTTATACGATGATTCTTTATACGACGTATCGTTATAGAGTTTCGGGATAAATTGTTTTGTGTGTGGACACGCTGTCAATCTCTTTCTTTCTGTCTTCTCATCGTCTGCCTGCATGAAAGCCTCAAGAACATACAGTCAAACCTGCTTTAGTGACCACCTGTCTACAACAAGCACATCCCCTCCCCCCTTGGAAATGGTTTCTCATTCAAACATGTACTAAATGAACCTGTCTACACAGACCACCTGTCTACAAAGACCACTTTTTGTGCTTTTCCTTGAGAGGTCGCTATAGACAGGCTTGATTGTACCCTCAACAGCAATAGGAGCCTTCTTACGAGCAGCCGGTGATGCTCTTAATAGTATTATGTATTTGACTTCACCTGGGCCTTCAAATCTCTGGTGTAATACATCACCAGGGTTTCCTCCTGCTTTTATACCGATAATACAGTAAGTTCTTAATGTGCAAAGGTGTTGACTCTCCTACACAAGGGGCTCCATTTAAAGCCAATGGGTCGTCAGTTTCCATTTGCAGAAGGTCATAATTTGGTGACACCAGACTTGGTGAAAATACCAGTAATAGGTGTACATGTCTTCACACAGCAAACCTGTAGGCCAGTCATCAGGTGATGAAAATGTCAGATAATGACTTTACCATATGGGGGGTTCGGTGGAAAAGACAGAGCATTACATAAAAGCCTGTTGTTCATAACACTGAAGTTAATCCTGGTGTTACACAACACCTGTTACCAAAACATTGTCAAAAGAGCCCACTTCTATCTGTCTCTAACATTGACATTTGCTATATGTATTCACCTTGAAGTAAAAATAAAATGAAAAATTAATTAATTCTTCTATTTGATGATGTTATTTCTCTAGGTTGCAGTACTTTGCTAGGGGTGTACAGCTTTATAAGAGGCAGCTTCGTCTAGCGCTCGAGGGCAAGGTTGGAGATCAGCTGAAGACAGATGAAAACAAGCTCAAGGTTGTCGCCCTCAGGATCACATCAAACATTGACTTACTCACAAAGGTAGGACCAAAAGCTTGGAATTCAATCATTACTACAGTCATTATGCCTCAGCCATACGTAGTGGATACTGGAGGAATTATGGCTTCAGGTTGTCCGTCCGTCCGTATTTATTCTTGTGAACGCGATAATCTAAGAACGAATCAAGGTATCATATTTAAAATTAAAATAGAAGGTTAACGGTTCCTCCGTTCTGTCACTTCCCCATTGATTTGATATCAATCAGATTTTATCATTAAAGCAATATGGGACATTAAAGAAATACAGTACTAGAGGCACTATCGCAAAATCTCCTCTAGCAGCATCTCGGGTCAGCTGTAGCAGTATGGTTCCGTAATTCGCTGCTTCCCTAGGTACACTGTGGGTTTTCATATCAACTCCTCTGTCTGCGAAGTGGAAATTAGGTATTGGGTTACGCACTGAGGGCAAGTTGACCACGAGATGGTGCTGTGCAATGAACAGTACGCTAGAGCAGGAAGTTCATCAGTTCAATATCGCTTCAAAGCAAGCAAGCAACGTGATCATACCTTTATGTTATCCAAATTGTTTTGCATTTTGTGTGTAGGTCATGACGATGATCTCATATAAGGGATATCAACCTATCATAGAAAGATGACTTACATGTAGATTGAAGCAGAGAAATGAGAAATTATAACTTTTGGACTTTAAGAAAAATCATCCAAAGCAGTTCTGAAGAAAAATGAAGTTGGAAAGCAGACTCTACCTCTGCAATTACATATCCATACATGTACAGTAGATCTACCATAGAAAAAGAGTGCTCTTTGGTAAATTCGGCTAAAAATTATTTATAGCTGTGAATTGCAAGAACTGGTTTATGATGCAAGTACACACAATTGTTGGTAATTTAAACCAGTATTTCTTTATTCTCTGTGTTTTTTGTGTTCTTTGACTCAGGATCTGTTCCACAACCCTCCCTCGTATAAGAGTACAGTCATACTGTCATGGAGACCTGTTACCAAGCAACCATCTTCACCTAAAGAACAACCAGGGTAGGTATCATGGATAAAATGAGAACATAGGTAAACAGCTCATTAAATATCAGTGCTGTTCTTATATCATTATAATTTTTATTTTTCATACAGTTAAAGACTTAATTATTCATACCTATCTAAATTTGATGTTTTTGTGTTTTTTGTTACTCCAGAATGATAGGTGCATTGGTTGAATTTGGGCCTTTGTTTAATACTTTTAGATAAAAGCTTTAATTTTTGAGTCAGAATAATTCAGGAGAGCTTAGGTATTTGTTCTAGTTCATCCTGACTGTGCCATGGACCAGTGATGGCCTGGTGGTAGAGTCGCTGCCCGGCAAGCAGTAGATGCAGGTTCAAGTCCCGCTGGTTCCAAGATTTTTTCTGACTTGTTTTTCAATACAGATCGATCAATCGATCTTATTTACTGGGTGTAAGCCACAAATATGTTTAAATAAAAGCTTTAATATGTCACATTCTCAAGAAACATGAATCGAGACACATCAAATGCTCACGTACCTAAAAAATTACAAAACTTGGTAAGAGTATAAATAATTTAGTTGTTGACTGTAGGTAAACAGCATCTTCACAACGAGTTTAGGTAGTATTGGAAAGTAAGCAATATGTAAACGGCAATTGATTTATTTCGTAAGAAAATGTTCCACAGTTTCTGGAAGGGTTTTGTTGGTTTCTATCTTCAATTTGCATCGGACACAGAGGAGCAATGTCACACCCATCGCATTTCTTGATTGTCTCATTTTCCTTGCTCTGAATCCCCTCTTATCATCCATAAGAACAAATACACCCTAATTACATCGTCGCCTGGCTGGCAGAAGGGCGTTAGCACTGAATCGCCTCTAACTTTTATAAAGCTGATTTATTTTGGAGAGAAAAAATTTGTGGCCGTGTTCCACTACAACATTTCTATTAGTCTTTTATGTTTTAAACCAATTTTCGAGACGGAAAGCAGTTCAAATATAAAACAAATCTTTAAATGCGAATATTTTGAAAAGTAGTTTTTTGAGTCGCTCGCGCACTAACGACCTTCGGCCACCCGGCCGACGATATGTATGATGTGATTTGTAATGTGCTCTTTGCGTTCCTCCTTCCTTTTACATCAGACAAAAGAGGAGCAACATCACCCCCATCTCGTTCCCCGAGGGAGTTGCCCCAGCCAAGAAGAAGAGCCAGAATAGGGGTGGTGGAGGGGGGCAGAAGAGGAGTAACAGGGGTATGTATGCACCCCCTGGTGGAAAGTACAGTCAGAAGGCAGGCTCAGCTCCTGGAGGCGGTGATGCTAACTATGGAGATAACTACGGTGAGTGGGGTGTACTTTGATGCACAACAAAATAGCATATATGTGGAACCGTAGTAAATTTGGTACCAACAGCATATCAAGTATGTGGGACTGTGGAGAAATATTTTTGACTGGGTTGAAAATACGAAAGAAAGTTGATGAAAAAGAAATAGTCAAATTAAAATAAAGTGATGTGAATGTATCCATGAGGGTGAGGGATTGGTAGGGGGCAAGGGAAGACAAAGTGAGAATGAAAACCTTTGTCAAATGGATGAATATTTGGTTCCTCTTTTTATGTGCCCCTACATTTTCATGATTTTTAAGGTTAGAAAGTTGTAATCATCCACTCTACTACTTTTAACATACTATTAAAGATCTTAATAATCATAGATGTGCCAGTTTCAGTTTGGTTGATCACAACTCAAAAATATTAATTTCCTTTCTTATCCTTCCTCACAATATTCCTGAATAATCCCTTTCCCCTCCATCTCCTACTTCGATTTAAAACCTAATTATACCAGCTTATGTCTCTTTTAAAGAATGTTCCGCAGTAATGTTCAAGCGTACCTTAGCTGCGCAGGGCCAGCTGGTTATGTATTCACAATGCACAATACCTAGAGTTCCTTGCATGTACAGTAAATACATGATCAGCTACTCCTGAAGAGCTATGGTGCGCACAAAGGCTACTGTCCTCGATTAATTTATTTTAATTTCAACTGTCATTATGAACTTGTCTCATCTATATTAATTTAGATTCAAGATTCAAATGAGGTTTTATTTCCACGACTTATCAAAAAGTCCAAAGAATAAAAATGCAAGTTTACATCAAACATACAATCATATAAAAGGTATATTTAGGTTGACGTATTGCTATCTAAACCTCTGAAGGCAACACTTAAACACTATTGAATGAATATTTTGCACCCAAAACCCTTGAACCGCAATTTTACCACTACCGGTCTTAACCTTGAGTTCCTGGTATTATGTGCAGTAAATGCATGATAAGCTAGTCCTGAAGAGCTATGGTGCGCACAAACGCTTCTGTCCTCGATTAATTTATTTTAATTTCAACTGTCATTATAAACCCGTCTCATGTAGGAAGTGCGATATCCAAGTAAGGAAAGTGGAACATTGTGATTAAGATTTTGTCTCTTGTTTTTCTTTTGTTAACTAGGAGGCATGCAGGGCTACCAGAACCAGCAGGGGCGTGGAGGCTACGGGCGCACCAGAGGACGAGGGAGGGGCCGATACTACTAGGAGAATAACCTCATAGGATGCTACATAGGATGTATATACACTGAACTCTAGTATGTACAATCAAACCTGCTTTAGTGACCACCTGTCTACAAAGACCACCTGTCTACAAGGACCACATTTTTTGCTACCCTTGAAAATGGTTTCTCACTGAAACATGTACTAAAGGAACCTGTCTACTAAGACCACTGTTTGTGTTTCCCTCGGGTGGTCGCTATAGACGGGTTTGATTGTAGTTAGATCACCATTCAGATGAATCTCTTCTGTATTTTAAAGCTACTCATGTATGCTGATTGGCTGGGCTCAACACTGAGGTCTCTGTCCTGAGGGTCATCCACAGCAAACTACGTGGACTGCCCTTTTAAGGCAATGTGACGTTCTCCGTCGTGCAAATCTAAAAGTCCCTACTACGAGTGCATGCACCCTTCTTCATTTAGTGACATGTGACTGAAGAGAGTATGGGATCCATCTAGTTTACCACAGCCTGGTTGATATCGGGCCCTGCTATAGGTCTATTCTTAAAGCCAGGGGAATACCCCAGTTCTCGTGATGGTATGACTTCATTTGCAGTCTTCATCTTATGTTATTAATCAGAGATGTGCCAGTGATGCATGCATGTATCACATCTGTGGTTTTACAATCGTCACATCTACTGCAATTCACTAGTCATGCTCTAAGTATGAATTGGTCACTCCTGCAAGGATGTCAGCCTTGACGGTTGAAAATGTCATCCATGTGTTCAACATTTCTCGCCAAGCACTAAAGACTGATCTTTATAGGAGTTTGGAAGCACACGAATGCCAATCTACTTCCCATCTTCATATGTGTTCAAGAGTATAGAAATGGGATGATTTTTCAATGTTATTAGAATCATTAATGTTTAGACAGAGTGGCTGTGTATAAGCACACACATGCTTGAGGTACAAGTATTCTAAAACACTCCTGGCACTCTCTCTCTCTCTCTCCCCTCTCTCTCTCTCTCTCTCTCTTACATCCCTCTTTCAACTTGGTGTGCCATTATTGTAGTCTTGTAGCTTTGATCCAATTGAAAATCTTCTGATCCTCTTTGTATTTCTCCACAACTTCATAGGGGAACCCAACTTTGATAACAAACTACTATAGAAGAACCAGACAAACAGAATGGTGAAGTTTTAAATGAAATAATCTTGCAATGTTTACTATGTAAAATGCAAAAAATGACAAAGAGGGAAGTATTTTGTTATTTTGTTATTTAAATGATAGAATGTTAAACTACACTGTAATTCGTTATCAGCACTTTTGTAGGAATATCAAATCTTGTTAAAGTTTTTATCAGTGTCTCCTCTGATGGTTGGAAATGTCGTCCATGTGTTAAACATTTCTTGCAAAGCACTAACGACTGATCTTTATAGGAGTTTGGAAACATGAATGCCAATCTACGTCCCATCTTCATTTGTGTTCTATTCTTGAAATATAGGTTACTGATTCTCACACCACATGGAAGCCCCATATTTAAAATAACTACAGCTATAACTAGAAGCCCTACTATTTGTTTTCTTTTTCTTCATGAAATGTTGCATAATTGTGTATTAATCTACTTCAGAAGAAAATACTGGCAAGATATTGGAGAGGTGGCCTTTGGTTGGGTGAAAAGAGAACTTTCACAATTACCCCCGCCCTCAAAAAAAAATAGTAGGGCTTTTAATCCTGAATATAGTTACAGTTACTGTTATGTATGAAATGTGGATCAGGCTGTAGAAAGAGGATGGGTATATTGCTATTTATGAATGTTTGAGACAATTCTAAGTGTTTTTGTTGTTCTTTTGTACTTTTTATTATGATAGATTATTTAAAAATAAAGACTACAGACCAAGTGTTTCCTCCATGATAATTTCTCTCCCATTTTTAAATTTTTACTTTGTAGCTGCATTATTTTGAGGCACTCCACCATGTCGTGTCTGAATGGGGCAGATAATCATTTAATCTGAAGAATTTTTTTTCAAAAACATTTACCTGGAAAGTATTTAAAAGAGAAATAAATTTTCTGGAAATGTAAATGATTAAACAAACAAAACCAAGAAATACTGTATAACTGAAAACTTGAGGGACATGAATGTCTTGAATTGTTCAGAACATCAATTTTTATGGCATGCAAGAAAGAATTGAAAAGACTTATTTTTGTGTCAGTTGTGATTCCATTATATGATCACAGCATGAAACTTACAGGAATCTGAATCCTTTTCTTGAATGCGTATTAAAGTCTGGTGTTTTAAAAGCGTAGCACTCATTCTTTACAGACAGACATTTGATGTGTACTATGCTTTTATAATGTTATATTGTCACTGTTTTCAATCGTTTTTTAAGATATCTTTTCTATTTTTTGGGGGGAGGTGGTTTGCTTTGTCATGTCTGACCAAGGCTTTTTTAAATTGCAAGAACCTTTGGTAATGTGGCGTGAGTAGTGTTTGCTGAAGAAAGACCAAATGAATGTTTAATTAGAAATGTACTACGTTATCACAGTGTCATGGTAAAGTATGACAAAGGGTCAGAGAGGGGGGCATGGAAGGTGTCTTTAAATTAGATTATTTATAAATGTCATTTTCTTGGATTAATCAAAATGAGGAATTGTTTTTACAATATTGCTCTTGGTGACCATGTCAATAATGTGAGGAAAAAAATCAAACAATAAATACATTCTGCTTGTACAAATGTTTTTAAAATATAATTTGCCTTTTTTTGTTTTGTTTGTTCTATTGTTTGTTTTCTATTTTATACATGTATACTGAAGTGTCCTGTTTGTATAATTATTGCCTGGAGCCAGGGGGCGTCGTCTCATTTTTATTTTACACAAAATGAATGCCCTTCTGGCTCTCAGCATATTAAGTGTTTCAGATGTATCCTGGGAAATCTGTTTTACTTCTCAGAGTTGTAATAATTAATATTTATAGATTGAGGTAAACCCTGCTCTTTTCTATATCACTTTAATAGTTATAAGCAACAAAGAATACAAAAAACAATACAGTGGAGAAAAGGCACAGGTCATGCCAGATTAATGACTTTGCAATACATTACATCATTTACTACTGCTTTCTCTTGGAGTTTTTTTGTTTTGGAGATTTTATTTTTCATTTAAGAAAAAAAAATCAATAAATAAGGCCCTCTTGCGTTTACAATTCGTTTAATGACGACAAAAATATCATTTTGAAATGAAAAAGATAAATCTTGTGACTCTCATCGTGAGATCAAACTTGGTTCTTTGTAAAGTGTCTAAACGTTGGAACACTCCATAAATATTACCTATGTTAGCATTCCAGACTCGCTATTGAAGAAAAGAAAACAAATGAAATGAAATAAATGTAATTCCACTTGTCTGGCTTGTACTCTGGACTTTGACCCAGGATAGCTTAAGGGAACAGGTTTAAAGCAGGTAAAGATAAATAAATCGCTACATATCGTCATGCATGATCACTAGATAGACGTCAGTGGCAGATCCAGGGGCCGGTTGGGGGGGGGGGGGTATGGGCATGTGCTCCTAGACACTCCCTTTCCCCGACAAAAGGCAGAAAAATAGAAAATAATGAGCATAACTTAAAGATAATGACCCTCCCCCCCCCATTCAATTTTTTCTTGCTTGTAAGAGAATTTGCAGACTTGTGCCCCCACTGCCAGATCATCCTGAGTCCACCACATTTGAAAACTTGATTTAAGGATGTATGAATGGATGTTACAAGTAAATAACCAAACTGGAAAATTGAAATATAATATCTTCGATGCATTTTTCTTCTTCAATATTACCTATTTTCGTGAAAAAACAAAGAAAAATACAAATTGTGTCCGGGATAAATGTTATTAGGAATCACAGGAATTTATTTAATGTACAATAACAACTATAGTACATGAAATGAAACATTTCATCGAAACATAATGTATATTTTATACCTGATTTCAAACATCTTGAAATCAATTGAGAACATGGGTGTCGATCCCGGGGGGGATGGGGGGGGGGGGGGATATATCCCCCCAATATTTCAGGTGGGGGGGGGGGGGGGTGGCCTGTACAATCACCCCCCCCCCCCCAATAAATTACCATAAAAAATAAAATAAAAATGAACAGAAAAATTAATGATTAGAGCCCGATGAGAGTAGTTAATGGTTATTACTCGCAAGATGACCATCAATATACACATTTTGCTATCTCATTTTCATAATACATATATATATATATATATATATACGAAGTAAATGAGACAACCGTATATGAGACAAGAATAAATTGAATTCTCGCTCATACGGCTTCATCAGGAATTGATGAATTTATTCAATTTGTTCAATCAACAGCATCATAGAAATGCAGTGCGCCAAATGCAAAGCCGCAGCGTTAAAAAGCAACGAGCTAAATGTTAAGCGCGAAGCGCAATAGTAGCAATCTGCAATGCACATCAAACAATCCTGGACAGTCACATAAACTCTGTGACGAATTCGTGATGAGATCGGAGACAAAGAGAAAGATTTTCGGACATCAGTATGACTTATAAGATAGTTCACTAGTTGCTATGTTGTTTCCGTTCACCCTTTTTAAAATTCACGTCATTGTATCTTTATTTTTATTTTTTCACTCATTTTATTTCCTGATATTTCATAAAACATTTTTCATTTTGGAGAAAGATTATTTCACATCTTATTTTTGTTTTATTGAAAAGCTGATGTAGGCCTATATCACTGGCGTACTGGTGGGGGGGGGGGGGGGCTTGCGCTTGCCCCCCCCCCAATAAAATCCAGCCATGACTTATTTTAAATTTCATACAAGTGATTTATAAATGTTCGTATTATCACATGATTTTCAACATAATTCGCGTTTTTCCATTTCTGTTGCAAACTGACACATTCCCAAATAGCCAGGAATAGCCAGGAACATATATTTTGTATAGTCACTAATGGGCCTAATTAGTGGCCGATAACTCTAACAGTAGTATACAATTCCTTTCCAGAAGCTATTGCGACAAGCACTGCCAGGAGATAACATGATATCCACCACTCGGGCTGTACATGCAAAGATTTGCGAACGAACGTTCCATACGTACATCATGTGGGGAAACTGAATTCAGACGTGGATTAAGAGTAATATTTAAATGAAACGTCAAAGCTTCCGCGCTTCGTGCGGGAGGGGGGAAACTGAATTCAGACAAGGACACGATACAACGAATCGTCTTCTTTCTCTAATAATTTAGTGAAACGGTAAAGCTTCCGCGCTTTGCGCGGGAGGGAGGCAACTGAATTCAGACTAGGATTAAGAGTTATAATTAATTGAAACGTCAAAGTACACCATACAACGAATAGTTTTCTTTTTTTAATAGTTTAAGGAAACGTGAAAACTTCCGCGCTACGCGCGGGATGGGCGAAAATGATTTCAGACGTGGATTAAGAGTAATAATTAAATGAAACGTCAAAGCTTCCGCGCTTCGCGCGGGAGGGGGGAAACTGAATTCAGACAAGGACACGATACAAAAAAATCGTCTTCTTTCTCTAATAATTTAATGAAACGTGAAAGCTTCCGCGCTTCGCGCGGGATGGGCGAAAATGAATTCAGACGAGGATTAAGGGTAATAATTAATTGAAACGTCAAAGCTTCGCGCGGGAGGGGAGGAACTGAATTCAGACAAGGACACGATACAACGAAGCGTCTTCTTTCTCTAATAATTTAACGAAACGTGAAAGCTTCCGCGCTTCGCGCGGGATGGGCGAAAATGAATTCAGACGAGGATTAAGAGTCGAGAATGGTAGATCGAATCGTCTTCTTTCTGTAATAATCTAATGAAACGTCAGAGCTTCCGCGCTACGCGTGGAGGAAGGGGAACTTGATTCAAACAAGGATTAAGAGTCGAGAATGGTAGATCGAATCGTCTTCTTTCTTTAATAATCTAATGAAACGTCAAAGCTTCCGCGTTTCGCGGGGGAGGGGGGAACTCCCCCCTCCCTGCACCCAGCGCGCTCTGTAAGTGATTCGCGTACTACCGCCCCCCTAAAATGAAATCCTGGGTACGCGCTTGGGGAGGGGGTGCAACCTGCCACACACTTCTACCTCTTGGTTGCTTTGATCCATTGCCGAAAATATTTTGGCACCTGTCATCCCCCCCCCCCCGACCACGGATACAAATCGACACCCTTGATTGAGAATTTTCACATATTTCAATCTGGTAACTTAACGTACAGGATTTACCCACCAACTGTAGATTGATAATTAGACAGATGAAGATACTTGTTTAAATCATATACCTTCATAATGTCGATATAGAAAACATAGAGACGGGTTAAAACCACTTTAAAGCATTAATGCTGAGTGACTACTCTCACTCCCGCCCTCTCAATTTACAGCAATCTGTGTATAATTCTGTTTGAAATAATACAATGATTTGTTAAAATAACTAATTGATGATGATCTGTTTGCACACTGTAAACAACTTTGATATTCATGTAGGTATAGCATTCCTTATCGGATATGCACAGAAATAAAACAAAACCATGAAATTATGAAGTATAAACTCATCACATGTTTGTAAAGGAATGGATAATTAAAAATATGCAAGAATTTCAAGCACTTGTATGAATATCTACAATTTAAACGATTGAATGGGAGAAAATGGGAAAAAATGATACCACGTTTGAAAATAAAAAAAGCGTTATGAGTAATGATAAAAACTGATAAATTTTTGTTTTCGCCATCCTAGAACAGTCTATGTACAATTCTGTGAGAAGAGAGGAAAATTTACAAATAAGGCACTGTGTTCAATGAAATGATTCTTTGTTTTCAACGTTGCTAGGTAAGACACTCTTTGTAATTAGGGAATCTATACGCATTACTAACGTGATATGAATAAAACTACTATTGATACCAAATGAACATAACCGTTGTAGCTAATAAATTGAGAAATATGAAGATTAAATATATATATATATATATGTATATATATATATATAAATAATGTAGATACTTGAAGAAAAAAACCCCCTAAAACAGGTTCAATGAAAAAAAATATATCTCAATTGAGATCAATATATAAATTTAGTCAAAACAGACGATTTTTACAATACGTTTCGTATAAAGCTACATTCATACAAATTATAAACCATGTTTTTACATTGCATTTAACCTCCTCAATATACATAATACATACATATATATTTACGTTCACTTGGTGGATATACATATTCAAATTTAGTATTAAGAATTCGCCCAATCGCTTCTTTCACTCACAGAACATCCATCCCAATTGTTTAGAAAACAATAAATATTTTTGTAACCGCCACGGATTTTGTTTTAAAATTTCATCATAATAACTTGTTAGCTTAGTGAGCCCCGAAAGGCTTGTAAACAATAGTTATTTTTTATTAATATCAGTTGAGGAAGAAATCCCGAAAATATTTTTGGCACATCTGACGAAATCATTAACAAGCCCTAGATTATACTTTTCTCAATACTTTGTGGTTAACACTGTACTTATAGACATGGTCCTTGGTTTTCTCATCAATTTAAACTTTAATTTCCAAAGACAGAGTAAGTCAGAAGAAAAAAAAATCATATTCAAGCCCCATTATCTTAAAAAACAGCAGAATTACTGGTATATATTACCTGGTTACCGTTGTTAATAATGTCGTCTTTTATTGATAGGGTGCTTATCAAAATACGATCATGGACGACTGAGCACTAGCCAGTTTTAGAATGCATGTGAAAATTGACTTTGCCCATGTTTTTGATAATACTGTTCACGGGTTACTTGATAATTATCATATGAGTTCATTCAATCGAAATAAAGACTATTCAAATTAATCTTGGTTTAAGCATTCATTTCATTCAAAACAGAGTCAAAAGAGACATGTTACTATTCAGCTGTTTATGTGATTGTATTGATCAAGGTGTCAAAATAAGGAAAAGATGAAAGGCTGCAACTTGTGGATCGCCGACTAAATCTATAAAAGTGTTGTGATCGCAGCAATATTTAATACAATAGCAAGTACTAACTAAAAAATAACAAAGCAATTTAAATAGCCTTGTGTATCACCTATAGGAATGCCAATAACGTATGACGTAATCCTAAAATGATTTCTATGGGACATACAACAGGGTAATGAAATTGCACTTGAGATGATTCTTTGAAACTTGTGCCGTTTAAAGATTTAATCTGTATTTCCTTGTTGTAACTCACGCTGAACATATGCAAATTCATTTGTTAGATATTGCTGCATGTAATTATTTAGCAACTCTAATTAGATAATATGTATAAAAAAATGACATACTGAAATTATGAACTATGGACACGGAATAAACTCATCACCTGCTTGTCATAAAATAAATCCGCAAACATATAGGCATACAGAAACTACATGTAACCTAAACAAAATTATCTTTCAAACTAAACAGTAATCTTTTAAACTAAATAATAATGTGACTAAAACTATCATATCTTCTTTCTACACCATTTTAGAACAGTCTACATGGTCTATGTACAATTCAATTACTTTGAAAATATTTTGTGAACGATACTAAATTTATGCAATAATCCTTTGTTTTCAAACAATAATAAACTTTGACTTCCAAACACATGTGTACTCTGAACAAGAATGGTATGTATAGTTATGAAGGCATGATATTCAAAATTCGCATACAGCAAACATTTATAAGATACATGAACAAGTATATAACAAATCGCAATTAGGTATGGTAAGAATATTAGATAAAGTATGAATACTTCAAGATGACAACAGAATGCTGCAGTATGAAGTAATGTCGCACCTTCATTATCACCCGTCTCAGTCCGTGTCCCTTGACGAAAGAGATATTGAACAACATTAAGATGACCATAGCATGTTGCAAAGTGAATAGGTGTCTGACCATCATTATTAACAATCAAGACCCGTACTCTTTTACCGACGAGGTACTGAACTACATCAAGATGACCATTGCGTGATGCATAGTGAAGAGGTGTCTCACCATCCTTATCAAGCTGATCAATCTGACATCCTTGATCAACGAGATACTTTACTACTTCAAGATGACCACTGAATGCTGCAGTATGAAGTAATGTCGCACCTTCATTATCACCCGTCTCAGTCCGTGTTCCTTGACGAAATAGATATTGAACAACATTAAGATGACCATAACATGCTGCAAAGTGAAGAGGTGTCTGACCATCCTAATCAACAATCAAGACCTGTGCCCCTTCACCGACGAGGTACTGGACTACAACAAGATGACCATTGCGTGATGTATAGTGAAGAGGTGTCTCACCATCATTATCACGCTTATCAACCTGTGCTCCTCGACCAACGAGATACTCAACTACTTTAAGATGACCATTGTGTAATGCATAGTGGAGAGGTGTCTCACCATCATTATCACGCTTATCAACATGTGCTCCTCGACCAACGAGATACTCAACTACTTTAAGATGACCATTGCGTGATGCATAGTGAAGAGGTGTCTCACCATCATCATCACACTTATCAACCTGTGCTCCTCGACCAACGAGATACTCAACTACTTTAAGATGACCATTACGTGATTCATAGTGAAGAGGTGTTTCACCATAAGTTTCAATGTTATTGAACTGGGCTCCGTTTCCAAGGAGATAATCAACTACACCAAGATGACCATTGTGTGATGCATAGTAAAGAGGTGTCCGACGATGTTTATCACGCTTACTAATCAGTGCTCCGTTGTTGACGAGGCTCCAAACTACCCGATGATGACCATAGTATGCTGCCCAGTGAAGAGGTGTCTGGCCTTTAATATCAAGGATATTAATCAGTGCTCCTTGACCAACGAGAAACTGAACTACGTCGCGGTGACCATTGCGTGATGCACAGTGAAGAGGTGTCTGACCATCCAAACATAGCCAATCAATTCGTGCTCCGCAATCAACGAGGTACTGAACTACATCAAGATGACCATTGCGTGATGCACAGTGAAGAGGTGTCTGACCGCCTCCATTAACCTGTGCTCCTTGACCAACGAGATACTGAACTACATCAAGATGACCATTGCGTGATGCAAAGTGAAGAGGTGTCTGTCTATGCTTATCAACAATCAAGACCTGTGCTCTTTTACCGACGAGGTACTGAACTACATCAAGATGACCATTGCGTGATGCCAATAGAAGAGGTGTCCGACGAGCATCATCATATTCATCAACTTGTAGTCCTTGACCAACGAGAAACTGAACTACATCGAGATGACCATTGAGTGATGCACAGTGAAGTGGTGACGGATGACCACTATGTGGGTAATCAATCAGTGCTCCTTTACCAGCGAGAAACCGAACAACATCGAGATGACCATTGCATGATGCATAGTAAATAGGTGTCTGACAATTATAATCTACGTGATCTTCGAGAAACCAAGCTGTAATAGCTTTAGAACCTTTGATCACTTGATGTCTAGTATAATAATTACCCGGGTCAGATGTTAGTCCTTGGGAGAATTTACGAGCTAGACTTTTGATAACGTCGGTAGTATTGCGTGTTTTCCTGGAATGAGGTTCAATAATTACTTTGATAGCCCTACCAATCTGTGCTCCTTCAGGAACGAGATACTTAACTATATCGATATGACCATTGTGTGCTGCACGGTGAAGAGGTGTCTGACCATCCAAACTTCGACAATCAATTCGTGCTCTGCGACCAACAAGGTACTGAACTACGTCGAGATGACCATTGCGTGATGCCCAGTGAAGAGGTGTCTGACCATCCAAACTTCGACGATCAATTCGTGCTCTGCGACCAACAAGGTACTGAACTACGTCGAGATGACCATTGCGTGATGCCCAGTGAAGAGGTGTCTGACCATCCAAACTTCGACGATCAATTCGTGCTCCGCGACCAACAAGGTACTGAACTAGGTCGAGATGACCATTGAGTGATGCCCAGTGAAGAGGTGTCTGACCATCCTCACTTTGCAAATTAATCGTCTCTGCATTGCGACCAACAAGGTACTGAACTACGTCGAGATGACCATTGAGTGATGCCAATAGAAGAGGTGTCCGACGAGCATCATCATATTCATCAACTTGTAGTCCTTGACCAACGAGAAACTGAACTACATCAAGATGACCATTGAGTGATGCACAGTGAAGTGGTGACGGATGACCACTATGTAGGTAATCAATCAGTGCTCCTTTACCAGCGAGAAACCGAACAACATCGAGATGACCATTGCATGATGCATAGTAAATAGGTGTCTGACAATTATAATCTCCGTGATCATTGAGATACAAAGCTGTAATAGCTTTAGAACCATTGATCACTTGATGTTTAGTATTATAAGTACCCGGGTCAAATGTTGGTCCTTGCGACAAGTTACGAGCTAGACTTTCGATAACGTCGGTAGTATTGCGTGTTTTCCTGGACTGAGGTTCAATAATTACTTTGATAGCCCTACCAATCTGTGCTCCTTTAAGAACGAGATACCTAACTATATCGATATGACCATTGTGTGCTGCACGGTGAAGAGGTCTTTGGCCGTCGTTATCGCCTCCATCAACCTGTGCTCCTTGACCAACGAGATACCGAACAACCTCAAGATGACCATCGCGTGATGCACAGTGAAGAGGTGTCTCACCATCATTATCACCCATCTGAGTCTGTGTACCTTGAACAACAAAATACTAACCTACACGGAGATGACCGTTGCGTGGAGCTCGGTGGAGAGTTGTCTCACCAGCATTATCATTGTCATTTATCTGTGCTCCTTAACGAACGACATGTAATATTTCCACTTCATTGGTCTGATTTCCGTCACATAAACCAACATGCTCTGACCCATTCAAATATATCAACAACGATCCCTTGTAGATTGTTAAATCAATTAAAAAAATCAGTGCATAAAATTGTTTCACGATAAAACTCTAATATATCTATGAAAATAGCTCTCTGATTTTTATCCGAAGAGTTTACCATGTGGTTGATACGATGGTATATTACACAAAGGTAAGAATGATAGCATCGTTATCTGCTTACAGTTTTCTCAATCAAACTAACCGACGGAACAGTAATTAAGAACATTGCAGATCCTTTTATGAAAAACAGGCGTTGTTTTGTAAAGCATCTTCATGGCAATACGTCACCGTGAGGTGATCTAGGCTTCGCTGCATTGTAATACAAAAGTACATGAAAAGAGAGTATCGCATGGTTGACTATTTAAAATGAGCCGAAACCAGCTACTTGCAGCAATATTTACCGACACAATTTCCATAACAATGTCTATCCCAGTGGCGGATCCAGGAGGGGAGGGGGGGGGGGGGGGATTGGAGGTGTGGGAGAGGTGTAGAGGTGTCGTGGTCGAGTGGATACGTCACCGGAATATCGATCACAAGGTTCGCGGTTCGAGTACCGTTGCGGCACTAATATCCTTTGGCAAGTTATTGATCTACATTTGCCACACTCAACCCAGGAGATTTTAATGGGTACCCGGCAGGAATTAATTCATTGAAATGCTAGCCTAAGGGCGTCGTAATGGCAGCCGTAATAAGGCGAGGATAATATTCAGGAGCGCCAGGAGTGTCAAGTCTAACAGACATGAGCGCTATACAAGAACCCAATATTATTATTATTATTATTATTATAAGTCCGAAAATCAAGCTAGTGACCCCGCTAAATATAAAATAGAAAGTCATCAAATCATATATTTAGTCTTTCCTTCCCTTTCCCCCATTTGTTCCCCTTGGGGGGGGGGGGGGGCTAGGAGCAAGTTCCCACTAGTTCCAGCCAGGATCAGCTACTGGTGTATATCTCGTGTTCACGCATAACGATGAAAAGATTTTGTTTTTATACTGCTATTCAACTCGCCCTACAAAAGTTCTCCTGGGTTAAAGTCCAGAGTAAAAGCCAGACAATTGGAATTACAGCGAGTAGTGTCTGCATTGATTACATGTTAGTAAGGTATATAAACTGCTCCAACAGGAAAATGGAGTTCACTTTTTTTAAAATCATGAATTCCATTGTAAATTTTGACTTTTAATCAAACGTGTGAGAATAGTATATTACAGGGGCCCACCATTGTCTTTAATATGCATTTTTGATCAACATTTTTGGCTGAAAATGTTTTTTGGTGTAGAAATCCATCTATGAAAAAAATCAATTAAACAGACCACATGGACCCATTGCTCCAAAAGGGCCCAAAGAACCAGCTACTCACGACCGTCAAGAAGACTTTTTGAAACCTTTTTCTGATGTAATGATAGCACAGTAAATCTCTAAATTCCGGTACCAAAATATTATGATACATTTTCGGTATGAGGCTTTGAAGGCCAAAAAGGTACCAGCAATCTGTTAAATAGGACCCATATTTAAAATCAGTGATTTAAGAGCATGAAACTACGGTGTGAATGATATAAATATATTTTTCTGAAGACATTTGGAAGTGCGTTTTAGTAAAGAAACTTGCCAAGTCAACCAATTTTACATCATTTGGGTGCACCTGAGCAAAACAAACACACGCAAATTAGTATTCACTGAAATCTGAGAATGTATTCTATTATCATGATCTATTTGGAATAAACCATTGTCAAAATTATTCCATAAATTGGGGTAATACAAAATTATTCCACCTGCGACCAACAGTGTATGTCTCAGCTCAGGTACACCTAACTCGGGATTAAGGACCCATTTTTTAAATAAGTGATTTAAGAGCATGAAAGACATTGAAAAGTGTGTTTTAGAAAAGGTATTTGTCAAATCAACCAATATAACATCATTTTGTGGTACCTGACCACCCCGGAGCTCTAAAGCTATTCAGAACGGAACATTGAGGAATTGTATGGGAAATCATGTATTTCACCGACTGAAATATCAAAACATATGCTATATGTTGCGTGGAACTTTTGAATGAGAGTCACGGTTAATACACCGTACGCACCTTTAATCAACATTCACTCACATTTATATACACCCAATTTCGCTCAAATAAAAACAAAATTACTCTGACCATGAAAAGTAGTTTAAAATCAGTTACAATCTGCTTCATTTTTATTAAAAACCTCATCAAGGCATCTTCAGACACAATATGACACTGTATACCATCGGGTAATTAATTCATTATAAAATTTACAATAGGTTTTAAAACTAAGATTTTGTAGATTTGTCAGATTGGCTGACAATAATACTAGAATTAAGAAGAAATATCATCGATGGTGTGTTAATACAAATTTTGCATCATATTCTTGCAGACATCCTGCACCTGAAATTTTGAACTTGCTTCCAACTAATATAACTTCAATCTCATTTTACAACAGCTTTAAACGTAATCTCAAAAGTTTCTTGATTGCGCATGACTCTCACTGAATATATTTATTAGCTTGTTACCTCTCTCTCTCTCTCTCTCTCTCTCTCTTTCTTTTTTTCCCTTTGCTATCTTCTGACTTTTTCATCCTACCATGTTGTATGTCATGTACTGGGTTTGTAGCCGTTGTTATGCACTTTCTGAATGATACTACCCGAAACTTTACTTGCTACTTGTTTTCTTACTATATTTATTATATCTAATTTGACAGAAAGCTGTCCAGACAAAACCTTTTTTTTCCAGCTGTGCTTTATTCTGTTTTGTATTAATTCATTTCACATGTTAATGCTATCCCAATTTATGTATTATATTTTACATCAAATTGCATGTTTTTACTTTGTAAAAATGTTTTTAAAGATGGAATTCAATCAACTAAACGGAAACTGAACTGAAACTGAACTGTTTTTGTTGTTGCATGTCAATGGCCATCTGTTAGCTTACCAGGTTCTAGTGATACATTAATTTACATATTTGAGATTTTTTTTGAATTTCACCTTTAACTTTTATTTGAAATGTTTAAGGTCCCTTTTCTTGATTAAACCGTAAATCGAGGTAGGAATCTTGTTTTTGCCCAAATAATGTAGTGATCATGAACAATATATTAAACTATACATTTAACTCATTTTGTCATTGTTTTGTTTACTATTTCAAATAATATTGCGTAATATAGAGAGAATTAAAAAAATACGTTTCGGGTAACAATAATGTTTTACGTACTGTAGATCTCAGTAAATAATAATTTAACATTAGTAGCTTAACTAGCTTTACAATATATTCTTCACTTGTTATGACCTTCGAGATAATTTTTCAAAATAGTCGGGCGTTTTAAAGAGATATATGCTGTTGGTCATAAACGTGGAATAATTTTGTTTTACCTCAATTTATGGAATGATTTTGACAATGATACATTCCTAACAGATTTAAATAATAGTACGCATTCTCAGATTGTAGTAAATAATAATTTGCGAGTGTTTGTTATACGTGACTGCTAAAGCACGTGTATGCTACTATGATTATCAACTAGAGGACCTACGTCCTTAAGTAGTAACTGACAGTCATGAGGATTAATGCCTCATAAAAGGGCACTAATATAGCACATCAACACGAATTTGATCCTGAGGTCTCACAGTTACGAGACCATTGCTTTGCCACTGAATCCTGTCTGTACGCAGCGGGGGCTAGGGTAGCGGGCAGCTCCCACAAATATAATGAAAGATTTTTTTTTTTATTTTTTTTTACAATTTAACCATTATGGTTAAAGGAATGGCCACACAGAGAAAAAAAATTCTGTTGGGGACCGGGGGGAAATGCAATGAATTATTGATAATTTATTACATTTTATTTCGAATTAAACTGGTCAATGATTACCTGTCCATTCATTGCAGAAAAACAGAATGAGGAGCATGACTAACCCAGTATACCTGGGACAATTGAAAGAGAGAAAATATCAGTCTCCTTATAACACCCGAGTTATGTTTGACTTCATTCGCAACTAGATTATCTATCGCTCAAGACGGCTATCTTTAAGGTTCTGAATTGCTAAAACTCGATAGATTCTTGGGGATCTGAAAATGCTCGCGCGTTTGCGCATACTGTGGCTTCTCCCCACCCCCGTTTGGAAAATCCTGGATCCGCCTCTAGCTGCTATTTACCATTCCATGTTTTACGCTAAGCAAACAAACCCCTTTGGTCACCACTTATTTCAATATTCCTTTTAAATAGCTATGCTCGCTTGGATGTTTTACATCATTTGCTCTTTAAAGTTGACAAAATAAACATGTTTGGTCTTCGGTTTCATGATTGACGGTCTAATTAAGTTCATGCATGGAAGCGGATCGTATAGCGCTAAGTGTTGATCTTGACTCAAAATCTTGTGTAACGCTAATACTCTGACAGTGGCTAGTATTTATTTCTTCATCTATTTATTTTTGTTTGATGATACTACGAGGACGCTATTAGATTGGTTTACTATGGCGCTCTATTGGCACATCATGCAATTCACTGTTGTTTTTTCTGTAATGAATGGACAGGGAGAAATGATACAAACTATGACATTCTTAATCAAACTCCACAAGAGGGCGGCACATTACTTTAATGACAAAATTAAAATGGGGAACTCAAATCATTTGAATCTTGAATCTAATATCTAAAGTTAAAATCCAGTTAGTGTAAGATATTGACCTATGGGCAATGGTCACCGGAGCATGAGTCATATGCACACGGTTAATTAGGGCATTCCTATCTTTGTAACTAGTTAATTTGTCATGAAAGCGAAACAAAAAAAGAAAAACAGAATGG